GATTCGGTAATTATTTACTTGATTAGGGGATTGAAACTAGCTTGACCTATCATTATCCAAATACAACAAGAATTTTAACTTTTTTAAAGACTGATAGTAACAAGATTACAGAATAGAGCTGTTTATTCAGAAAATGAAATAACATTAGCAATATAGGGAAGGATGGAACAAATGATACTAATTTGCATGGTATGATGGATGTTGCCTGTGGATGAACATAATAAAATTTGACTAAAGTTTGGAGATTGCTGCATGTCCTCTTTCAATCTGTCCTGTGCAATTACAAGCATGTTAGCTGCAAAGTTTTTGTTATTTTATTAGTTATTACCACAATATATACTCACACAATTTTCTTGATTTTTTTTTTTTTTNAAATACAATAATTACTGTTAATATCATATAATGTTGCTCAAGCGTTACTCACTAATAGACAATCAACAAATCCTAACGAAAAAAATCAAACAATAATATATTCTAACAAAAATTAGAACTGTAATTGTAGTGGATATTCCGATAGTAAAGCATCCGTTGGATGATTCAAAGACAATTTTCTATGGAAATGTTATCTGTTGAATTTGATTCCAATGATAGTTTTCCCAATTGTTGATTTTTTTTTATGTTTTTGTTACTATTTTGTGTATTTTTTTAATATTCTTTAGAGTTTTTCTGAACTTGTTTTATGTATTTTTCGGTGCAATAATTTGCATTTAATCATTATTTGTGTTATTTTCTTATTTTTTATATTTTTCATCTATTTTTTTTATTTATTTTATAGCAAAATGATATTCGGATAAATTTCGCAGAATGACCAACGACATAACGTCAAGTCCATGTATCTAGACAGTTTTTCAAGAGCGTTGTTGTATACACCTACTAAGCATCCTCAAACAATCCATGAAACTACGACAGAAGCATGACCGATTATGGCCACAACATGTCACTCCTGAGCGAGGCCCAAGAACGTTGGTATATTTGGCCAACATAATTTACCGATCACATGATTGCCTCAGTCAACACTTGTCGATCTCGGCGATCGTCGATGATTGTCAATCGTTGACCGCCCTGCAGAGTACACTCTGGCATACTGAACTAGTAAAATCGCTAAATATTACCACCGCCCCAGAGGTCTCGTCTCACCTTTCAAATCGGTCATTTCTTGCAGATTTGCAAAAATACGTCTCAACCTCAAAAGATGAACTTTTGAATGGTTCCACACGTTCTCCTCTTAGCCATCAAGCTGACTCATAATCATCATTACACTTTAGTTTTTTCTTGTATAAAGGTGACCTCTCGACACCTCAGTTAAAAAACAAGTTGAATAAGCTAAACATAGAAATCATACTACCGTACACAAGCTCGTTCTACGACCATCATTGTAACACCAAACGCTTGCTAGTCATTTTCTTTGGAGAACCATTATTCTCGTCGATCTTACAGCAGATCGGCGAAGTCTTGTATTACTTTATTTCTCGCAAAATACTTCACACACTTACCTAATCATCATCTAGTTATACTCAATCTCTGAATTAAATATCATTGTCAATCGCTCGTCAACAAGCGTAACACCAAGTATGTTTTGATACATCCATATATAAAGACAATTTTTCGGAAGTGTTACATCCATATATAAAGACAATTTTTCAGTCTCATTTCAAACTTAAAAAAAAAAAAAAANCTAAAAAAAAAAAAAAAAGGTTGTATCATATAATGAAGAACATCTTTGGTCACACACTCACACTGAGATCCGAGACCGATTTCAATGCTCTCAAACAATACCAAGAAACCACTTGTACTAGTAGAGGAGGAATGACGAAAACTTATAAGATTTGTTCTTCGCTATTTTCTTACGAGTTAGTGTCACTTGATTTGTTTGGTTTATTTATTTCAAGTATAAGTTAATTCATTTATTCTAGGCTAAGGATCTTCGATTCTTGTCTTGAATTCAGTTGAATGTGTGATTCATACCGGTACAAGTTGTTTGAATCCTATTGTTAGTCGATTGATCATCGCCTAATCTAGCTAAATAACTGTTAGAACCAGAATGAGAGGGGTTATTTGACCTATGCTCGTATAAAGTGGGCATGTTCATAACTATATTGCGTATATATGTGTAAGATGATTTGATGAATGTGCCATTTATGCTTGTTCTCATGTTATAGGTAGTTATTGAGAATAAATCCCTAGACGTTTGGGTTTGTCGAACCATTTAACAAAACAAATATGAGTTCGACTAGATTTTGGGACTTGATGATATTATTCTCAATACCCTAAATCTTCTTTATATCTTGTTATTAATTGTTTTTTCTGATTCTTGGTAATTCTTAGATAATCTCATCAAACTTTTCGAGATTAAAATGTTTTGGAGTTTATATTCTTCTTATAAGAGATAACACTGATTCTATAAGAGATAACATTGATTCTAGATTCGAAACGTTATTTTATTTTAAGAGATCCACTAAAAGATCGGGATTCATTCCGTATTTTTTAAAAATATAATTTACTATAACATTTGAAATTATTTGTAGAAAAAAAATCAATAGAAATCAGATATTCCAACAAAAATTCATATAATAATAACATGTTGAAAAGTGTTATTGGAATCATTTTAGAGTCCTACAATAACTTAAAGGAATATGGAATTCCAATAAGAGATTTTAGTGTTGACCTCTTTTTGGAATATTAGTTGTAATCTTTTAAACCTGTAATATTGAAAAGTAGAAATTTATATTGAAATATTTTCCATTAAATTTTTCTTTTGAAATCGTATTTTGTTATCTTTTGTAGTGACTTAGTAAATATTATTATGGATTATCATCTCTTATTCACATGAAGCAGATGGGTATAATCATTGCCAAAGTCAAAAGGCCTATTACATGAAAAGCTTTTTCGAGGCCCTAGCAGATACATAATTGTCTTCAATTTGATTTAATATGTTTATGTAATCCAACTTAGATTTAAATGTGTCATTCCGAAATTTAGTGGTATTTGTTGACCCCTAATTTATATTGTCATATAGCTAGTAAATATAGTGGCCACAATCTTTTTTACTTATTGTCAAAGGAATTATTCATTCATGGTGACAATTGCAATATTAGTATATGTCTTAGGCTGCTCTATACTTTGAAAATAATATTGTATTTATTATTACTATTTTAGTCTTAAATTCATATGCATCACCTATTCCCAAATTTATGCTCCTCCAAATTAATTTAATAAAATAAATATGGATGCACTTAGTGGAGAAATAATATTAAATTTATAATCATATCCAAAATTGCAAATATGTGATATATATACACATTTTAAATTTTAATATACGGGTACCATTCAAAAGGAATTTCTCCTTTCTTAAAACTATATGTTACCATTCAAAAGGAATTTTTTCTTTTTTCTTTTTCTTTTTTCCATTTGAACAGTCACTCGTTACATTATCACTACAAAAAAAATGTCATATTTCAACGGAAAATCCTACGGTAATATATTCCAATAAAAATTCCAACAGATATTTCAATGGTATAGTTTCCGTTGGAATAGTTACAACGAAAACTCCAATAGAAATATTCTGTTGGAATGAATTTTCTATTAGAATTTAGATGAAATTTTAATATTTCAACGGCTTTTTACCGTGATAATTTCCGTTGAAATATACAATTTTCATTGGAATTTTATTTTCAACCGTTCGAAAATGTACTGTTGGAATCGTAAAAATTCAATAAAAAACTCAGTCCAACGGATTTTTTTTTTAATTTTCATTCGAATCAATTGAAAAATTCCAACGGAAATAATAACATTGGAATTTCTATTGGAATTCTATTAGAATAATATTCGTTGGAATTTTTCATTGGAATTTCATCGCATTTTTATAGTGTATGACATTTCTTTGTGGATGTGTGGGTACTTCTAGAGTTTTGTTTTTATGTTGTCCTTTTTTTCCCCTTCCAAATTTAAGAGGGAAAAGATCTCTTTTATTAACAAATTTAAAATAGCAAATATTGTTAAAAAAACATTATTTTCTCAACATGCACATACACGGACTCCTAAACTCAACTCACAAGTGACAACTCGCAAGACACAATAGAGATTAATGGATAACAACAAGGCAAACAAATGGAGACATATCTCTAGTGGAGCACAATTGAAAATGCAAAATGACACTTAATATTTGATCATTTGATGGTGATGGTGGCTTCTACTATTTCACTTC